GGAACGTGTGAGTCGCTTCTGTGGACGCGACTCTACTCTTATACCCGTACTCAGTCAGTATATAAATTTGTGAGCTTATGATTTATGAAGACTAAACAAAATTTTATTTACCATTTTACATTTTTTTGATACATTTGTTATCTTTATCTAAATCTACAATGTCGTTTACATATCTGAAATGTAGATTCTACATACACAATGTAGTGGCAAAGATTCAGAGCCACAGTGTGTGCGAGCCAGAAAGAGAATGAGTAGCGAAATTTTGAAATACGCTTGTAGCGGTGTGATATCACATGTGTCTGGAAACAAAATTTGGTTGCTCTACCTCATATAGTCTCTGAGAACAAGGTGCTCATCAAGACGGACAGACAAACATGGCCATGGCCATATCGACTCGGATATTGATGCTGATACATACTTTATGGGGTCGGAAACGTTTCCAAGTACAATATACCCCATAACTCTTTGTGAGTACGGGTATAAAAATATGTAAAATTAATTGAAACAAAAAAACACAAGCGACACATAAAAAGCAAACAGCTGAGCCCTCACCCATGAACAAAAAAAAAAAAAGGAAGAGAAGTCAGTCCTAAAATAATAGAAAGCCAAAACGGAACACTTTGTTGTGCCAGATATCGCCAAGTATCGCATATTGCTGCTACATTTCAGGATGAAATTTAATCAAAACCTCATTACAGAAGGCTAGAGAGAGAAGGAGAATGAGATAGAGAGAAGCGTGTCCAAAATAATGAGGGGAGTGTGGATCAGGAGCACCTCAATTTGTTGTTTCTACTGTCCTGCCATGTCCTTTCCTTTCAGGAAGCTTGACAAAAATTGAATTCATTTTTGATGAGGGGCCAAACGCATACCAAAGATAGAAAGAAACAGAGCGAAGAGAGAGAGATAGAGAGAGAGAGATAGATGGATATGCAAAAAGTGAGTAGGAGGAGACAAATGTGTCAAAGGCAATTTTTTTTTTCTTTTTTGCCTTCTTTTGAGCATATTTTGGGTCCGAAAAGTGAAATTTTGAGTCCCGACAAATTGCCAGGTTGCTGTCTAGGCTGATGAGATGTTTCTCAAATGGGGCATGGATGGGGGCGGGGAGGAAAGCGGAAGGCAGCGGAATGGCAGGGTCTATCAATTTTGGTAGTTGTCATATATGAATTTGCCCAGCCTTTTGTTTTATGCGTTGCTCTTTACTATTTACGGCTGAAATATGCATGACACCAGGCATATCTTTCTTACTCAGTCTTCTCTCTGTGTGTGGGTGGATGTAAAGACGCGAGTTTAATGTCCCAAGGCGTCTCCTGCCTTTACTCTGCCTCTCTTTTTTTTTGAGTTTCTGTCTCTGTCTTGCTGCTGGCTGCTGCTGCTCCTGTTTATGTGCGCCACATAAAACTATCAATTTATTGCTGCAAAATCGTTGCGCGCTGTTTCCTTTGGCTGGTGCTTCCTGCAAAGCGACGCCGCCCTCACACAGACACACAGATACTCACACAAATACATGCATATATGTACATACCATTGCACATTGCATTTTGCTATCTTTTTCGTGGGTTTTGTTATTATTGTTGGCAGCATTTTAGGCGCCATGATGACGAGACAACAGGCGTTTGCAGCTCTCCTTTTCACTGCTGCTGCTCCTCCTCCTCCTTTTAGAAGTCCCTGTGTGTGTGTCTGTTTGCGTGTTGCTGTGATGGTGTGGGTGCCACAAAAGGTTTTCTTTTCTCCCCGTTCTCGAACTTTGTTACAAGTTCGTGTGCGACTTATTTTTTGCCACGAACTTTGCGCTCTGCTGCTGCATTACGTATACGCCATGTCTGTCGCATGACAAAAATAGCATTGGCTTCCACTTTTTGGCTGAAACTGAAGCTTAAAACGAAGCCAAAGCCGAGGGCTAAAACGGGAGCCATGCCACCCATGAGACGGACCGACCACAATTCACAGCTTTAGCAGCTCCTTGGCAACAGCCAAATCCTTTTTATGCTTCTGATTTTTTGACACTTTACGGGCTCTTGTTGTTCTTGCTGTTATTGCTGTTACTGTTGGTTCTTCTGGCTGTTCTTGTGGCTTCTTTGGCTGTCTCCGAGTGTCTTAGTGTCGACACGCGTTGATTTTGTTAGAAGAGTTCAAGTTTTTTTTTTGGTACAGTTGCCCCCTCCGGGTGCATGTGATTGTGAATGTGATTTGCATACTCGTATGCGTATACGACTATGTGCATTGGATGCACTCGAATGTCAAAAGAAGTTATCGAAAATTCCATTTTCTAATGCAACAGACATCTGACTATGTCTGACACTTGACATTAGACTATTGAGGGGATGTTTTCTCGGAATTTCCGCATCAAAATATTGGTACGAGCTGTGGAATAATACTCCACCCGTATGGAGTTGCACTACAGTCAAGTCCAGGCTTGTGATATATGATTTTATAATTAGCTCTTTGGTCTACCTTTGAAAATGTGACCAGCAAATGCAATTGGATATCAAAATTGAGCCAATTATCAAAACAGGGCCACAGCGATGTGATGTGTATCCCGCACTAGATGGACTGTTTCAATTCCCCCGTGTAGGCAGGCGATAGGTGGTAGGTGGTAGTTGGGTTGGTTGTCCTCTGTTCCAATTTCTATCGTGACTTGCCTGATTTGGCATGGCCATCAGAAACTATGCCATTCACCCCCGAGCCACTGCTCTAGCTGGGACGCTTATTTCAATTTATTGCAACAACGATAAGCAGCAAGCACCCGCCACCGCCCAGCCGAAGGAGAGCGCAGCAAAACTAGCAAACAAGCGCAAAAATCAATTTAAAGTTCAATAGCCTCAGTCGCTGGGTCGCTAGCTAACTGACTGACTGCCTGAGCGGGTGAGCTGGTGAGTGGGTGACTGGGTGACTTGGGTGGTTGCCTGGAACAGGCCCCGTGGCTGTGGCTGTGGCTCAGACTTGGCTGAGTTGGCTCCAAAAAAAAGAAGGGCGCCAACAACAACAGCAGCAGCAGCAGAAGTAGCAACAACAGACGCTACTGGAACCTTACAGCGAATGTTGCAACAATTTGCGAGTTATTTGTGTGTGAAATTAAGTTCAAAGTACAAGTTTTGGGGCTGACAAGAGGCAACAGTAAGGATAGTGGCCCGGGCTAATGGCCGGCATTGCCTTGGGTCGACGCTGCATGCGTATGCGTAATGTACGAAAAGAGCCAGCCAATGTCGGCTGGAATCGGAATAAGTTTTGCTAGGGGAGGAACCCAGAGGAAAGACCACAAATCTCTTACCAGTGCAGCCTCAATGGCTGGGGCAGATCAAACGTGCCCAAGTGCCCATTGATGCAATTATGAGGCGCACAACGAAGTTGATAAATGGCAATCGGCATGAGCGCCACCGGCGGCGACACTGTCATCGCCATTCAACATTCAACACTCAACATTCTCCATTCCCAATCATCATCATCATCAGCGTAGGCGTCACCGTCCCTGGGATCTCTGTCCTGTCTGTCTCTGTGCAGGTGAGGGCGGTACTCGGGCTGGGGCTCTTCAAATGCAAATGACTCTTTGGCACGCCACGCAGCTGGAGACACCCAGCAGACAGTGTTCGACAATGTAGCTAACGAAGCGCACCTGCCAGCCCCCAGGAACCCTCAATTGATCTCCTGCTGACAGGCGGGCAACATTGGGTGAATGGCTGGGGGGGTGGCACGAAAACAGAGACAAACAGTTGAGTGTCAAGTTGCTTATGAGCTTTTTATCTCGACTGTCCCGACACACGCGCTAATGCTGTGGCAGGTGATTCAGCAGAAACATGAAACTGCAACCGCAAATGTTAGAACAGTACAGCCGACACAGACACAGCCACATTGGCACAGGAGGCAAAGTGTTGAAACCGCAGCAGGTGCAATTTGGTGTCACGTTAATGATTGGGCATTGTGAATGTTGCAGAGGTGCCCACACACGTACGGTTACGAAGCTCCCATTTCCATTCAGAGTTCCTCATTCGGTTCGACCACGCTCAGTGGCATTCTCTCAAGGATCTGATGAGGCTTTAACTTGTTAAGGCCTCTCCATTGATTGCCAAATGAAATTTTATTCAATGAATACTGCACAAGCCAGAAATCAACGGAAGCCAAAATGCAAAAATACAAACTGCCAAACAAATCGGTAACAAAAAAATCAAAACGAGAACAGAACAGAAACATTTTCCGAGCACCTAAAAATAGCGCACAGGAAAGTGGCAAGAGTTAAACGAGAATGGATAAATCGGATATGGGGGAAAGAGACAAACCTATACGGGCAACTTCAACAAATCTCAATACACAAACATGCAGGAGAGTGTGTGTGTGTGTGTGTGTGTAAACCGGAGGCGCCAACATGTCCTACAAGTGATTTATTTTTATGTATTTGTTAGTGGAGAGTAGAAAAAGTAAACGGGGAAAGGGAGTGAAGTATAACAGGAGGCAGCCGAAAGCGTGGAATGCCACAAAAAAATAAAGTTTGTGTTGTTTCTGTTGCTGCTGCTGCTGCTGCTGACGGCGGCGTCGCTTCACTATGTTTCTCTCTATCTCTCTTTTGCTGTTTCTGTGCAAGTCCAGCCACAGAAAGCAGTAAAGCAGCAAACGTCCAACGATTTATAATAGAAAAAAAAAACCTTCTTAGCGTCTGCGACTGCGACTGCTTCTCTGCCAGAGCGATGCACAGACAAACAAATGGCTGGGGCTGGGGCAACATCAGAGAGGAAAGCAAATAAAGGTAGCATACTTTTATGCGCCTGGCTCCCAGGCGCTCCTGTGCAAGTTGCAACATTTAGACGCAAATCATGGCAGACATTAGCGTGTGCAAAAGTTTTTCACTGAGCGATTTATGGGAAAAGTTGTCCACTTCCTCTATTCTCTTGCCTCTATCTTTCTGTGTTCTGTGCTCGGTACTATGTCTTCTACCTGGGCGCACAACAACTATTTGAACTGACTGTGCAACCTGTGTCATGTGTCCTTCTTTATGCTTGTTTATGTTGCAGAGTGTCCCACCGCCATGGATGGCATGGAGCGATTCGCCTGCCCCGTACCCGACCGACAGGGACGGTACCGCTGCATAGACGATCATGTGCTGTGCGACGGCTTTATCGATTGTCCCGACGGCGAGGATGAGGACCGAAGATCCTGCATGTTCTACAAGACGGTAAGTGGAGGAGCTCTGGAGCCTTGACGCATGGACCAAACTAATACTCATTCACCCTGGTATTTGCTTCTATTTTTGCAGACGAAGGCACATTTGGATGTGTTAGCGGATGCATTACTGCGATGGGCGCGAGGGCGTTAGGTTCCATCCCCAGCCCACCCGCTCACACAAACAATCTGAGAATAACACACAGACAAACACACACACACACTCAATACAAAATACAACTAAAGAACCCACGTTAATCATAAATGACTTGCAATTAGTTTTAACAATTTCCAAATCGAGGAAGACCCTTTCCCCCTTTAAACCACAAACACACACACACAACTACACACATACAGAGAAAAGCCAACCACAACCCCGCCTGTCCCATGAAGAGAGCAGGTTCCCCCCAGACCCATAGACCTCACAGAAAAAAACGTAAGAAAGAAAAAAAAAATACGAAAGAATGAACTTGCTGCCTGTAAAAAGCCTGCACGGATTTCCAAGTAAAGTAGAGAAACCATGAGAGAAACTAAGTAAAACAAACGAAACGAGACGAGACGAGTCGAGTCGAGTCGGCGATTATGCATAAGGAAAAGGTATGATTATTATTACACTATTATTATTAATTATCAACTAAAAGGAAAAGCAAAACCAAAATGAAAATGAAAACGAAAACGACAAAAAAAGAACCGTGGAACGAAAGCCGAAACCAAGCGGCCGATCGAATCCTAAAAGCTATAAAATATTAGAATTCAACCAAAAAGATAAAAAAAGGAGAAGACTTTTTTCATTATTTTGAATTTTTTTTTCGCGAGAGCAAAACAAAAAAAAAAATGAAAGAAGAGAAAGGAAAAAGAAAAACCTAAATCAGGCCTAACTATTTTTAGTACATATTAAATAAATATATTATAAATATATATCTAACTATATGAATATATTTCGTGTAAATTATTTAATTATATGTGTATTAAAGATTAAATGTTAAATAAACAACAAGAAAATAAATCAAAACGAAGCGGATAGGCGAAAAAAGAAAAGAAAATTAAAATTAAATAAAAAAGTGCGTGCGAAAGCCGAAGCAAAAGCAGAGGCAGAGGCAGAAAAGAACAGGAGAGGAGAGAAATTATATATACATATACACAGAAGAACAGACATAAATGATATATATACATATATATATATATATATATATATAAATAATTATATGGTATATACATACATATGTACACTTATTACAAACAAATATACAATTGATGGAAATATTGAAATAGGTTTTACTGATAACTGATAACTGCTGATAACTGAAAAAGCTAACGATTAATGCTAAATAATGTACTTATATACAAATACAATAACAGCGAAACTAACATGTTTAGAGAGCGGAATGAAATGGAATGGATTAACCATACGAGTAACATTTACAAACTAGCGGATCGGATCGGATGAAGGCAGAAAGAACATTTACATAAGCAAAAGACTTGACTTGATTATACCTATTATGATTGATAGTTGAGGCTTCAAACTACATACATACGAGCATATTTTTTCATTTGATTTTTTTTGTTTGTATTATCTATGTGCTTTTTTTGACATATTGACGACTGCCTACAGTCGAGGGGTCGAGACTCTACACCTGCATGCATGTAAATATGACTTTATCTTGACCTTATCTTCCCACATATATTCTGATTCTGATTTGCATGTAAAGTTATGTATCGCCCGCCATTCGTTCACAACCCCAATCCCCCTGGAAGAACTCTCATGGAAACGGCAGCTATTGTAGTTAAGTAAATTTATTTACATAATTATAGTATATTCAAATAACAACGGACTTATGTATAACAAAACGATAATAAGCCTACACCAAAACACACACAAACACACACTCACCACACACACTACAAAACGAGAGCCAGTGTAAATGTTTCCAATTTGACTCGTAACTTTTTAGCCAGCCCAAAATACGATGTAGATTTCCACCATTTGATGCTTTCTTTCATTCGTACCCTACCCCGTGCATTTCCACGAATACAAAACACCCTTTGGCAACCCCTAAGGGTCAAATGGCAAAAGGAAAACAATCAATTTAGGAGATACAATCAAGCAAACTCTTTAATTTAATGTGAAATATGGAATACTAGTTCCAGCATTGAAAGAACGCAAATTAACCCATAATAACGAGAGTACAGATCCCTGTCAAGCTGTTTTAACACGATGCAATATACATACAGAAATACTTATATGTATGTATGGTGTGGCAAGTGCGAAATTAACACACGTTACGACCCCCACTCCAATTAACATTTGTTGACATCGTGCAAATAACGCTTCAATGGATGCCTTTGCAACAAAAACCAAACATGAATGCTGTTTTTTAAGCTTGAGGCTCGCTCTCTCCTTTTTCGCTTATCCCTCAATTTCAATTACGAGTATATACCATGTGCAATATATGTTAGGGGACACTTTGGCTGTAGGGCTAAATGGAAAATTATTAAGAATTATACAAAAAACGGAATAACATATGAAATTGCGAGCAATAAAATTTCATATCTTATACAAAGTACGTATAACAAATGGCAGAGCAGAAAAAGACGATAATACTACTATAATTGAGAATACGTTTAATAGTAAGTTTATCATTTACTTTCTTTCCGCTTCCTAAAACCCTTTTCCTGGTCCTGGTCCTGGTCCTGGTCCTGTTCCTGGTCCTCCTCCTCGTACCACAGCTACAACAACAACGATCTTCGTTGCCAAGACCCAAGATTATTATGGGCCACACCTTAATAAGTACATATATTCTTTGGATTGAATGATTCGATTCGGTAATTGATTTAAATTAAAATAAATAACTGCAAAATAACCCACCTCTAAAAATAACAAAATAAACAAACCAAGTAATGGATAACTTAAACAATTTCTACATACATACATATGTATAACAAAATGTGTATACATTTAAGATCAAATTAACCTAATCAACGATGATAATTAAATGTAATCCTTGGAATTATGCACAAAACAGCAAAACCGCACTAAACTACAATTACAACAACAACTACAGCAATTACAGCAGCAACAAACGAAACGAACAAATCAAACCACAATTTTAATCACTTTTTTGAACGGACAAGAATCTGAGGTGAACTGAACGTAATGAAACAACAATGAAACACACACAGACATATACATATATTTTTGGCCTATTTTTCTATAACCAGAACGAAATTTTTAAAGCAAAACAAAAACACATCTTTTATAAAGACAAAAACGAAACGAAAAGACGAAACGAAACGAAACGGGAAGAAGAAACGAAAAAAGTGCGATTGTATATAACAAATGAAAAGGAAAGAATACGATTCAAAACAGAATTTAATTCAATTTCAGTTAAATAATTTACCACGAAAAAAAATAAGAGTCCAACGAAGATCGTTTAAAGGGATTTAAATACCTTTACATTTTCCACTATTACCAGTATTTACTTAAGTTTAATTTGATTTGGATTTGATTTGATTTGACATTTACCTTCACGTCTTGGAGGCTGTCGTCCCAGCAACCAGTATGGTGTATAAAAAGAGAATTTGTATATAGGAATCTGTATTGTATTACGAGTATTAACTGAATTAGCGACTAGAGACCCTAAGTCAAATGTTTCTTAAGTTTTAACATTTCCCAGTTTTACGGCATTCATTTTTCTACGTACTATTTTTACTACAACAAAATTCAAAAACAAAAAAAAATAAATAAAATAAATGTTGATGGAAAGAATATACGAAAATATGTAGCTAAAGACCCAAAAAAACCAAAAAACTATTGTTGAATGTTAAAAGAAACACATAATACACATATGCATTGATACACAGACACACACACACACATGCAAGTATACATACACGCATATATATATAAACGTATAGAGCACACAGTCAGCAACACGAAGAACTTGTATTTATTTGTATTTGTATATTTGCAGAGGAAAAAAAGAAAAAGAAAAAAAAAACTAAACAAAATACTTAACTATAAATGTTGCAAATGTTGCAATTTATCGATCAGTTGATCGATAGTTATCGATGAAGATGGTGAATTCTTATCGGTTCTTATCGGTTATCATTTCTTTTCGATCTGAATTTGCTGTACATAATTTCCCTCTGCCGCCCCTTCTCACACACTCTCTATCCTTATCTTTGTCTCTCTTTTTCTCTATCTTTGTCACTCTCTGTCTCTTTCTGACTCGTTTCACTTATGTATTGTATGTAGAGGAGGTCTAATTTTAGCATAATTCCCCATTTTTAATTTAACAACTGTTTACGTAACTATATTAATTAATTAATTAATTAATTATAAATACGATATACGAATATATGATAAAACACAAAAAAAATACAACAACAACAACAAAAACACAAAAAACAAACAAAGAAAAGATGAAAAACAAATACACAACCTAATATACACTGAAAACAAAACCGAAACATGCATTTCTGATTTCTTTATATCCAATTTTCGATCAATATTTCAGTAGAATTTGTTCTGTTTTCTCTCCACAACAACAACAACACCTACAAGAACAGACAACACACACTCCAGTCACAGTAAGTTTATAAGCCCATGCATGCCCTATAATATGTACACCGAGATATAATGCGTTTCATGAGTATATAAGAGAATGCCAAAGAATGAAAATGGAAAGCTCTTTTATGCACATAAATGCACTTTTCTTATGAAAATCCATTTAACTTTTAACTCTGTCGGTTTCTGTGGCAACTAAAGAGTCTCCTGCAAGTGCTTATCTTTTTCTGAGTGTTCTCTGCTCCCTTGGGGCAGCTCAGTAGCAGGCACCCAGTGGAAGTTTAACTAAAGCCTGAATGTTTAAGTTAATAAGCAGCAAGGAATCCCCAGATTGTGTGTCTTATGGCCAAGTCTCTATCTGTGTCCCATTTATGTAGGCAAGGCAACAAATAAATGTAAGGCTCTTCACTTGGCAGGGAAGCAAACTTTTCAACATTGTCTCGGCGGGAAAAAAACAAAAAAATTAATTTTAACATTAAATGAAATTAAATATCCACAGAATAAGCGTAGCCAAAAAGTATTCGCAAAAATATGTTGTGTATTCGCAAAAACAATTACATAAGTATTATCCAGCAATCGGGTTTGAAAGCAAATGAATGAGTCAATCAATTCAAACAAATTTTATCTGAGCTGAATGGACTTTGAGCCGGATTAAATTTGATTGGATTCGATTGGATCAAGCAGGTTTGCTTTTGGGAAAGATGAAAGCCGGACACGAAATTCGAGAACTATATGTAGCAAAATATTTACCCAATCAAACATATAAACGTATAAATGTTATCTGGATGTTTAGTAGATAAGCACATAAGTAAATACATGAAGGAAGTAGCCTCACGTAGGCATAAACTATTCAAGTATTAATATCAATTTATTCACATTTGGTAATCTCTAAGAAAGAGCCTGGAAATATGTTGAAAAATTTGCAAGGCAATTAATGGAAGCATTGGAGGCTGCATGCAAAACGCCGTCAATATAGCTAGGGAATACGAGACTTCTCACTGGTTCAAAAGTGGCCTTCAATGGGTATCAGGTGTTGTGTTATGCGGCTTTCATGCAGCTTTGTACGACTACTGGTGTATGCCACCAAAAGCCGCACTCAACGCAGACACAACCAGAGCCACTGATCCCATTCAATGCCACTTTTATCTCACTCTCTCACTCCCTTTCTCTCTGTCATCCTCTCATTTCTCCATTCACAAACAGCCAAACACAATCATGGTATGACGACGAGCAGTGAAGGGCAAATACGAGTAGTTTCCAGAACCGAGTAATAAGTAGATAAACTCGAAACCGACCGACCCACAAGTAGGCTATGGGGTTTTGCATGCAAA